AGTATTATCATTATTATTAATTACTGTTATGAATGCTTATTCGCAATTATGAACAGAAAAGTAAACATGGAAAATTTACCATCATAGCTGGATTTGAAAAACAATCCCATAGAGTTGAATTAAATTTAGATGTTTTAACTTTTGCATATTCGTAACTTCTCGCTGTAAATCTTCAATTATTTCTGGAGTTGAATCACGTAAAATTTTGACAGCAACATCTAATTTTTGTCCTATTTTTGGCGTCCATACAGCACGTTTGACAACCGCAAATGATCCTTCGCCCAGCCGTTCCATTAATTTTATCTGAAGAAGTGTAACTTAATACCGACATGATAACTAAAATCCGCCGAATATCAAAAAAAAAAAAAATCTGCAGGTGAAAATGCTGAATGAACTATACAATACAACACAACATCAAATCTAGACTTTTCAAATTTACTTTCAATCAGTTGAAACTTACTGTGCCAATCGCTAAATTAATCTATCCTACCAAATAGTTGACGAAGTTTACAGTTCACTACATCCATCCATACAGTTAAAAACTACCATAAATTAAAAGCATCACATAATTGGTAATGCAGTGTGTAACTTAGAACTTTCGTGTGATATATACCGCAAATAAGGTATGACAATATCACATTTCGTGCGTTTAATTAGAATTGTAGAGGAAAAGATAAACACAACTTCTCATTAAGTTTTAGCTTCAACTTACTACCCGTCAGATGCTCTTTTCCTCACCTCTTCTTTTATAATGAGCGAAGTACCACCATTTTCTGGGAAAGTCCACAACAGCTCTGGTGTACTAGTCGGTACAAGAACCTTTGTAACTTCGCGGCTTTCCTTTCTCCCAATAGACGAGAAAATCCCCTTCGATTTCTTACTTTTCTTTTTCTTCTCCGCAATTGCAACTCGCAGTCGACGAATAGCAGGCTGCGAAAGACCCGTGTAAGACTGAAACATGTTAGAGTTTTAAATTAAAGAAAAGGATTTTATTGCCCGCAACAGCGGACAAGAAAATACTTGAAAATATCGAAATCTTCCCAATTCAGCTCTGAGAAATTCAAAAAAAAAAAACTTCAGTAGCAGATCAAGAATTTTCATCGTTTTATAACCTAACATAGAAATCACCATACTTTTAATTCGTCGTCAGTAACATGATCAAAATGCTCCAAGCGTGATAATTGCAATTCCACACAAAGTTTTCGTTCAAAATTTACCAGATCTGTTTCTTTTAATACATCTTGAAGAGCTTCCTCTATATACACAGCTTCTCCCATCTGCAACAAGGAAAAACTAATATTTTCTCCCTTCAGTATCCGAATTTCCGAATTTCTAAATAATACCGCTAGGCATATATACATTTTCAAACATATATTCTCATACGCAAATATTTACATGAGACATATATGTTGCCTGCATGTACATTTACAGGTAAACTTAAATTATGTACAAAATGATGACATTTCTATGACGTTACAATATTATCTTTTACATGTATATGTTCTTCTTCATTCTCTCGTCCACCTTTCTCATCTCTTATCATTTAATTGGAATTTTAACCTCACTAACAGCCACACCAATTCTCTTTAGTTAATACTATGATAAAATTTCATCTACCACAAACAAAAATAAAATTGAAACCTCAGAAATGAAAATTTTTGTCAGCCTCGTTAGCATTACTATAAATTGGAAATATAAACAAATTGCTCGGAAAAACATAATCGCAATGTATAATATGATGTGAACAAATGAACATACAATCACAAGAATGCATATGAAAATTCTTATCAATACTGATAATCAAAAAGCAAAAAAGCAAACAGTTCAAGTCCGAAATCAAATCAACCGTGCACATCTGGCAATTTGTTGGATGATAATTCAGATTTATGCAACTATTTAAAAACAAAACCAAGAAGATCACACTTGCATCTATTATGAAGAGGTAAATGAAGTACAAAACTTTTTTTTTAAAAAGAAAGCAAAGTCATTAATCTCGATAAGTTAAGTAGTGATGAGAAAGCCATTTGTTAGTTACATTAATATGTTAATTAATTATTTAACTAATTGTTTGACTACAAGTATTACAGATTCGCCAAAAAATAACACCAGTTTCCTAACGTTCAATTGTAAGCAAGCAATGCTAAATGATGTTTGAAAGAATATTCAGAGATATCTAGATTGATCATTTAGCCTACCATCCATTATCATCGGACTGACCAGTTATTCTGGCCTACTGCTTCATCATCACTTAGTTGACGTAATACTCTTATCCTTTAATACAAACAATAATCGGTTTAAACTACTGTTTCCAATCGGTGGTCCGCATATCAGAGGTGTTCCACGAGAACTAACATATGTTTCACGAGAGCTATTAAAAATTATGTTCCATCCTTTTTATGCTATAATGATACTCTAAGTTCAACCAATACGTTAGAAGTTTTACATGAAGTTTGTTTTCAAATTAACAGTTGTGGTTCCTGCTACAAATAAAAAATGCAAAGTGATCCCTGGTCAAGAGAAGGTTACGAACCATTAGTCTAAACAGTATTTATATTATAAAACAAATCACTCTGTTAATTGCCAACAAAATGATTAGTGAACCTGGCCAATTATTATCAAACTGTTTACTCCCACAGCAATATCATCGAATTAATTACCTTAATTGTTTAGCCAATATTTACAATCACAAAATGCAAACGGAATTTCTAATTCGAAAAACAACACCGGAAAGGGTTAACTTCTTGATAGTTACAAAAAAAAGATAACGATAAATTCCCCATTTTTCCACCATTCAACTCAACTGATTCTTGGAACCGACGTTCCATCTTTTTGTTTACTTTTTTTTCTGCTTTTGTAAATCAATTGTTAATCAATAAAAATAAATCAAAGGTATGCAGGATGCATTGGATGCGACAAAAGTTTATCCTCTTATCGTGTAAACAAAGGGAGAAATGAAAAATAAGGACAGCAGGAGAAAGTGTAAACAGCATAATCAAAGTCTGAAAAAGTTAAAAAACAATCTAAAATCCTACCAAAAATTCAATGAACAGCTAACGGGCGGAAAAGTCACAGGTGGAAAAGTCCATAATCAATTAACAATCGTAACATTCAAATTTAGAAGCACAATTCCACGCCGATATCAACTAATGCCACATTACGGTCCCATCCAAAAGGATTCATCAGCAAAGCAATATGGTATACTTGCTGCGCTTATCGTATCACTGTTAAAGTATAGATTTACTGTTGCACGCAAGAAGAAGCGATAACTTCAACTCCTTCCGAAACTGCAACTTATTTACCGTATCAGTTTTGGGATAATGGTAAATCTACTGCATTTACCATACGAATTTGAAGTATAAGCTTACTGCTACACGCAGAAAAAAGCGATTATTCGGACTCCTTTTAAAACTGTAATTTATTTACCATACCAATTTGGAAATAATGTAAATCTATTGTACTTACCATATGAATTCGAAATATAAGTTTATTGCTGCAAACGGAAGCTATAATTTGAGTTCGTCCCAAGAAATTGCTTTAGTAAATTTCATCCCGATAATTTGTACCTTCAAAAATTTGATTTAGTTATTTGTATGCGACATGAATATTCTAAATGTTGTCATGGAAACGGATTTAAAAATATATGGGGAATAAATCGAAAGGAATGATTTTCACATTTGAATAACTTAAGTAAAACATTACTGGTCTGATAACATGGAATCAATATTCTTTACATATGAGCATAGGATATACTTGTTGATAAGAATAACAAACAAATCAGGAAGTTATTTTATTTCGTTAAACGTCACCTATAATTTACGTTGTTAGCCTTAACCATATTATGATTTATGTCAAATTTCTTTCATCTAAGAATTCACCAGTAAATCTTTGCATGTGAAATTGCCATCTAATAATTCGCTAATAAAACTAGCAGTTCTAGCAGTATATAAGCTAACAGAAATTTTTCAAAAAAGAATAATTCCCATTGAAAAAAAAATTTTGAAAATTTAAAAAATTATATCATATGATTAGCATAGAGTATTTCAACTCGATAAAATTGATAATGTTAATGAAACTGAACTTAACTTGATATTGCTAATAAACTGAACATAATTTGATATTGTTAATGAACTGAACTTAAATTGCTATTGTAAATGAACTGAACACATTACACATCTGCGTTTTTTTTTGTTCATCTAAAATTATTACAACAAAATTAAGTTATATGTATATATATATGTATATATATTATATGTAAATGCACCAGGTAGAATTAGTATGCAAACATCAATACAAGTGTAATCAGTCAAACAAAATCGCTTAACTAATTTAGGAAAAAAAGAAACTAATAAAATTGCTATTTGAAAAAAAAGAAACTTGGATTGAAGGAAGAAATGATGAATAATACAATCAACCAAATGTGAAACTAATCGATTTACAACACAAAAAAAAAAGAAAAAGAAGGAGGAGGCATAATCATTGATATTTAATGCCAGCTATTCATACTCGATCTGATTGCGCTCAGTTTCAAATTTACACTTTTTTTAATAAAATGCATTTCATCGCTATCATCACTTTTCAATTTACCAACGTAATTAATCAAAATATGGTTATATGTAGATTTAAAATAAGCTGAGTGAATTGAATTAATCGACAATGACAAGTAATGCGAGAGTTACATATTGATTATATCAGTGATAGTAGTCATAAAACGAAGAACAGTGTGGTAGTTGCAATTAATAATAAAGTGCTGATGGATATAATAATAAAATAATGGTAAATAAGATGAAAATGAGTAAAGTAACCAAACAGCAATAGATCAACCTAATATCAATGGTAATCGCGCAAACAGTGTTACTTTTTTGCAAAGAGACTAAAACTTAAGAAGTATCGAATTTCAAGTGAAATGTTATCCTTCCTTTATTGCTTACTAACCTGCTCAAATATTTCTTACACTATATCGTCATATGTATATATATGTAGATAATCAGCAGATTAGTTTGCCAATTACCTCAAGCAATTAGTTTCCGGTTAAATATTCAAATTAGACTCTCTATGATGTTAGAAAAATATGATCATATGAAAAAAGCACATTATATGTTTTTAATTTATTTTAAACATTCTACCATGTCCAGGACAATCCAATCTGCTTCACTTAATATTATTTCAC